CTCTCTCTCTATATATATATATATATATATATATATATATATATATATAGACATTTGAATTTTCAATCATTATAGAGGGTTTTTGATTTGGGGTATTCTATACCCTTGAGTTGTGATTTTTTCCCTTAATTCAATGAGTAAACACTTTATAACATATTCTAGCCCAACAATGGTCGATTATGATTTAAACGGGCCAATAACTTTCCATAAGGCCCAATGAATAAATTAAAATTAATGATTTTCAATTGGGCCAGGAATTAATGGCCCACTAAAAGGGCATCGTCTACATTCTTCAATCGGGACCTGTAGATTATTCCCTTTTGTATACATGAACCGGAAAAGACAGAGAAACAAGGGTCTTCTTCAACGCGATTTTGAAGCTCTTCAAAATTAAATTTTTTCAGTGTCAAAACCCAAGATTTAAAACATACACAAGCCAGAAGGATGATTTCATGAAGAAATTTGAATTTATTTCCCCGAAAAATAAATCAAATAGAAATCATAATTTATGCAGATTGCTTCATAAACATCAAGGCCGAGATAAAATAACGCTCTGATACCAAATGTAAGACTGAAACTTAGGGATATCAATTGGGCTCGTCGGCTCGGACCGCCCGTGGCTTAGCCTGAAAAAAGCCTGAGCTGGCTCGGCTCGGCTTGAGGCTCGAATCGAGCCCCATTTTGAGGTTCCAGACTTATCTCGAGCCAGCCTGTATGGCTCGACGGCTTTGGCTTGGGCCTTATTTATAAAAAAAAACCACCAAACGAAGAAAAGAAAACAAAAAAAAAAGCAACGGCTTGTTAAGGTAGCAAGTTGCTGCTTTAAAAATAAGGCAGCGCAGCTGGCTGTGCCAATACAATTGAAAAGAGAGAGGGAGAGAGAGAAAATCGAGCAGTCTCAAGCTCGGCTCGCTAAGGCCCGAGCCGAAAGTTTGGGTCGAGCCTTTTTTTTTGCCTAACTTTTGCTCGACTCGGCTCGAGCTCGAAAAAAGCCAGCTTTATTTTACTCGAGCCGAGCTCGAGCCTTGAGTTTCGACTCGCGAGCCGCTCGACTCGGCTCGTTGACATCCCTACTGAAACTCGACCTTAAACAATTATGTGGAAACAATTGGATCGAGAGATAAAAAATATTGCGAATCGAAAATTGGACCTCCAACCATTGATGTGTTCCAGAAAGCTTCTTACTCCGAGTAATGGTTTTTCCAAACTCTCAACTCACTATATTTCGGGGTGGGTTGAGCTTGGGGACCAATACGAAATTTATAGCCGAGTTTCCATCAAACTCTCTATGGCTACTTTTTCATTGTTGATAGAAATTAGGACAAAAAATGGGCATAAATTGCTCCGGAGAAAAAGTGGTTCAATGTGGACCATTAATCTTGGAATTTCCAATTTTGTTCCTGTAGAATTTGCCAATCTGGAAATTCCAACATTGTGTACCATCATGTACTGTTACTTTGCAAGCTATGTTTTTGAAGCTGGTTCTTGAAGGTGAAATTTACTGATTTATCAAGGAAAAATTGTGCAAATGATTATCCTCTTTGAGTCTTGGGTTGATCAGAAGTAATTGTAGTCAAACGAAGAGGCTATAAAGGAAAATAGCCTTACTCTTAATATTGATACTACAAAATTTAGCTTCAGGTTGGTTGTGATTTTATAAAACTGAATTTTAACTACATATTTTTCTAATAAAATAATATTGTATGTGAACCGTAATTTTCTACACTTTTTGATAACATTCTTTTCAAAAAATCACTTTGCTTATTTTAAAAAAAAAAATTTACATCAAACATTTTCTCCATATGAAGTTGCAACCCAGCCTCAAAAAACGTACAACATCGACAAAGTGTGAATTGAGTCCAGATAAACTGAAGTGATCGTTCTTATCCGAAAAATGAGGTTTAATTCTCAAGTACAGATTTTTTTGATAGAATTTGAACAGACAGCACTCTGTTGGCCTATCTTTCTTTCCATTTTTTTATCTTTTAGTAAAATCCGTAACGTGTATTTTCTGTTGATTTTTCTTGTACTTATAGCATCTCAAAAAGGATGTACACTGTAGTATTCACTATTATTCAGTTTGATATTATTATATTACAAATATCAGTACGTTCATTGATCATGAAAATTGTTGGGACTTTTGTGTTATTCCACTTATGTAGCACGTTAGTGTACATGGGAGTATTTATAGGCAACTAGCTCCTAGAAAGCTTGAAGTTTTAGGTTCGTTCTATCTTCGACGTTATATCATGATTTTCGTGCCTCATATTAAACACGTCCAATTATAGTACTAAATATTATTATTATTTTCATTGTCATTGAATGGGTAGGGATGAATCGAGCCGAGTGCCTTGGTGTATATCTTGTTCTGCTTGGTGGTGTATGTAACGTGGCCATTTGGAAAAGTTGCCTTTCTACCAGCTAGTCAACCCTTTGATTATGCCTATACCGACATGAAATTCTGTATTGCAATAATGTTATGGCCTGTTTGATTCAGAATTCCACGGAAAATTCAATGAATTCCACATTTTCCAGTGTTTCATTGCACTATTTTACCCTGATTCCCTCCACGCGCCTGAATTCCTTCTTTTTGAGGAATTCCAATTCTTATGGGTTTGGTGAGAATTGAAATTCCAAACAACTTTCTTTTTTTCTTTTCTTTTTAAAGGTAATGGAACCAAATTCTAAGAATTATTGTAAAAAAATATTTTCATTTAATTGACAATTTTCATGTAAAATGAAGCCAAACGAACATCAGAAAATAGATGATTTTCTTGATTTTTTTTTTTTTGGGAATGAAAACAAATTTCATCCCCAATACCAGTAAATTCTATCACTTTAATTAATAATTTTTATGTAAAACTAAGTCAAACGAACATCAAAAAATACTTTTATTTCAACATTTTTCACGTGAAAATTATACCAATCAAACACAATAATTTACAATACACAGGAAAACAATTTCTAGGTAATTCAATTCTCTAAAATTCGTTTTCTTTTCATCGAAATTTCATTTTTACAATCAAACAGATCCTTAAATTTTTAGTTTTTTTTGTCCTTTTTCTATTCCAACTGTATCCCGGAACATGACCGTGTACAAGTATTCCCGCTAAAGTCACGCTTTCAACTCAATTAAGAGTCAAAACTATATATATATATATATATATATATATATATATTAATTTTCCGTTGTGCCGACTCCCCCACCACAAACCAATTGTTGGCCGAAAAATTAGTAAATTGACATTCTCAAGTAGGCCTGCTATGAACACAATATTTACGCGGCTTGCAGCTGTCTCCCTGGCCCATGTCCTTTATCGAAAGGCATATTTCGGCGACAGAATCATAAAAACCATCCTGCCACGTACGCATATAAGATTGTCCCAATGAATTACTAAGCGCTTCTTTAAACAAAATTTTATTAACATTTTAATTGATTAAAACTTTAATTTTGATTATGCATTTTATGGAATTTTTCAACAACATATTTAGTCCAAGTTTTGACAGAATTGAGATATGTTGTCCATCAAATTAATTATCGACACATAATTTTAAGTTCGTCTCAAAATTTCTTCACCACTAACCCACCAAATCAGTGACATGTTAGAATAACATGTCAATAATTAATTGGATGGTGAACAAATTAAATGGTTAAATTGGACAGTAGATTTCAACTTGTTTTGACAATCATTATTGGAAACTTTTTTTTTTTATTCGTTTTCAATTACACATTTACACATTAAAATATTTTACAAATAAACTCAAAAATTTTACCTTCTTTTTAACCGCACATTTAAAAAAAAAAAATTACGGGCTTAATTAGCTTTTGTCAAAATCTCATCATTTATATATTGAAATTATCATTTTTTTATTTGACAAGTTACTTCACATTGACTGCATCCGCGGGAAAAGTAGCAGTTGTGACCCACCGCACCCAAATGTAGTAAGCGGTTTTTACCCGTCAATCATACTATAAATTAATTCCCCATTTAACCAAAATATTTAACCTTTCAATTTTCTGATCACCTGCTACCAAAACCAAAAACGTAACAATCATAAACCTCACTATTCTTGATTTTTCCGATTGTCCGATAAATCCTCATCGAAAAAGACGTACAGAAATTCGTGTATGTATAGGTAGCTTGTGGTTTAGTTAACCCTTTAATGAAGGTTATTATGGAATGTTCTTTGGCATTAATTCAAGGTTAAAGCTATCCCTACACTCTTCGATCCGCAACTCTCCACTATCTCTGTCTCCCTTTTTCTCTTTCTTTAAAGCTTCAATTTTTATTCCTCCTTTTGTATATTTTGGATTGGATTGGATATTTGGGAGTCCATACAACTCTAGCGTACACCGTAAGCCGCTGAGATATCACAACAGTACGTATTTCTTCATAGATTTCTCCGCTTTCTCTGTCTTTGTGGATGCAAACGATGTTACCTCATACCTGTTTGTGGTTTCATAGTAAATTTTGTTCTTTACTCGTGAATAAGGATTATTAGCTATATTCTGATAAAGGTATGAAACAAATAATTATACTTTTTTTGCTTTCTTTCTTTTATATTTTTAAGGATGAAGATGGAATGTAATTCTGTTCATAAGAAAACCGAAGGAACCGTTTGATAGTATTTTCGTAATTCTGTTGAAAATGAATACGTGCAATCAATATCTATTGTGTACACGTAGCATTTTCCACTTAATTATATAATTGTGTGAGTTTCATAGAATTTGTCTTGTCACTTAAATCTCAAAGGTGATTCAGAATATTTTCTTGTATATTGGGGCGTGTTTGGTTTGATCCAGATTTGAAGGTTCGCTGTTTTTCTAGGACAGATTCTCTGTGGAAAACATGAACTTTTCATTCTTTTATGAGTTTAAATATGGGATAAATTCACTGGGCTAAATCATCTAAAATTAGAAAAAGGAAAACTGGTAACTAGTTTTCTTCTTGGGTTTTGTTTAACTCGCTTGGTTCCAAGAAACCGAAATTTAAATTCTGCCCACCTTTACTCGTGCACATGGATACAATTCACCAAAGGAACATAGTAATTTTAGTTTGGCCACATATTGCACAATGTTATATATCATGACTGTGCATGTGAATGTTGATAATCGATAAAGTTTTTTGATGTTTGCTTTAGAGGTGTAAAAACTTTACCTTCTTAGTCACGTGATCTAAAATTTACCTTTCCAGCTGAAGGCTCACTATTTTCTCAGCGGTGATGCGAGATGGCAACGTTTGGGGATATAGGGCTAGCAGCAGCTATAAATATTCTCACTGCATTGGCTTTCCTCATAGCCTTCGCCATACTCAGGCTTCAGCCGTTTAACGATAGAGTATATTTCCCAAAATGGTACCTCAAGGGTTTGAGAAGCAGCCCAACTCACTCAGGGGCATTCGTAACAAAATTTGTCAATGTGGATTGGAGATCATATTTGAGATTTTTGAATTGGGTGCCAGATGCACTGAAAATGCCAGAACCAGAGCTCATTAGTCATGCAGGATTGGATTCTGCTGTCTATTTGCGGATTTACTTGCTCGGGTACATTCTTTTGTTCATTGATATCTCTTTGGACTATTTGCATTTTTGTCATATCTGTAAGACTAGCTATATCTAAGTAATCCATATTAAGCACTTGTTTGATAATTTCTTTATTTATTTATTTCTTTAATTGATTCTTTGAAAAGTGTTTTTTTTAATATGAATATGTGGGGGAAAAAATAGGGAAATTTATGGGAAACGTGAAAGATGATGTTTTTAGAATGTACAGTTGAAAATGAGTGTGGGAGAGAAGTGATTCTCAGAGAATCAAAATCAGACAAGGGCTAAACTTGTTTTGTGAATATTTTCATTAATAATCCTGGACAAAGTCGGTAAGTCATCTCGATCTTGTAAATTTGTCCACAAATTTTCTTTTTAGCTGTAAAAGATAATAGTTGTCCAGTTAACTCGATAGTTGATTATAACTGGATACTTGATTCATGTGAATCTGATTTCCTTGGTTGATTCTAATGTTTCATAATCTATTCTTTCTTATGTGATAGCATCAACCTTATTGTAATGTACTGATTCTGCTAATGGGTTCGTGCAGACTGAAGATTTTTGTTCCTGTGGCATTGCTTGCATGGGCAGTCCTGGTACCTGTCAACTGGACAAATAACACTCTGGTTAAAGCTAAAGCAACTGATAACGTTGATTTCAGCAACATTGACAAGCTTTCTATTTCAAACATTCCACATGGATCACAAAGGTTAGGAGCATTTTTTTCTGTGGTTTTCCAGAATTTGTTGCACTAGTTAAACAAGCCAAGCAAATGCTCAGTCTTGGCTCATCATGGGCCCATTCAAAGTATAAGTATCATTTGAATTTGAACAACCCAACCACTAGTTTGGCTCATTTTATTTACACCACCTGTCCTACAATATGAGCCCATTCAAAGTACAAGTAGCATTTGAATTTGAACAACCCAACCACTAGTTTGGCTTTGCACCACCTGTCCTTGTTATTCTATGTCTCATTTTACAACTTGCAGCTTCTGTCATTATCTTCACATCTTTCTTTGGAGTTGGGATTGATGTAATAGTCAATATGCATCAAAGTTTGTATAAGCACTAGCTGAGTAGCTTCTCTTGAGCAATTAACAAAATTTTGCATTATGTATTGCTAATGTAGCATCTGTTTCTGGAAGTTTTGATAATCAATTTTCTGTCCATTTTTCTTTTATATGAGTCTATGGAGACTACTCTCAGATATTTTGATCCTTTCCCATTATGTGTTCTGTTCTGCCAAAACTTGAATACCACTATAGATCCACATAATTTTAGACTTGGGCATCACGACACTTCGATATTTCTATTGAGCAGGTATGATTCTGAAGGCAAAGAAACTTCTTTGGCATTTGTTGGTTCTGGCTTAAGCCCTTCGACTAAAAATGGGGTTCAATCTATGTACTCCAATAGGGTCTTGTTATCTCATATCACCAGTGACCCATTGTTGGGCGAGGACAAGGTATATATTTTTCCATGACTTTAATTGCTAAATCTAGGGATGATGGTGAAAATTATTGGCACATAGTTTAGATAATATTTTTTTCTTGGCAGCCTGCATATTTCAATGTTAAAGCGTACATAAGTTACATCAAACCCGACCAAACTATGTGGTATCGTGCTTGCAAGACTTGTACCAAGAAAGTCACGGATGCTATTGGATCCGGATATTGGTGTGAAGGGTGCCAGAAGAACGACGAAGAATGCAGCTTGAGGTTCGTGACTTGCGCAAATCCAAGTAACTAATCATTAATTTATCCTACTTCGTAGTTAAATGTCCTGAATACAAAATCATTTTTGTCGGGTTGCAGATATATAATGACAGTAAAAGTTTCTGATGCTAGTGGTGAAGCCTATTTCTCTGTTTTCAACGAACAAGCAGAGAAAATAATCGGATGCTCTGCAGATGAACTTAACGAGCTAAAATCCCAGGTTAACATTGTGCAACCTTAATTTATACAAGCATGGATCATCTTGTCTGATGTCTTGGTGATATCTTTTGTTATTTTTCTGAATATTAGGATGGAGAAAGTTCTTATCAATTGAAACTGAAGGAAGCTACCTGGATTCCACACCTTTTTCGAGTTAGTGTTACTCTACAAGAATACAACAATGAGAAAAAGCATAGGATAACTATCAGAGCTGTTGCTCCTGTGGACTATGCAACTGAATCGTCGTTTTTGCTTGAAAAAATATTGAAGATGAAAATCTCTAAAATAGAGTAACTCGGCATTTTTGTTGATGGGACGACCGCGCTTTTTAGCAGTAGTTTTTTGTTTTTTGAACCTTGATGAATACTATGTTTATTAGCATTTTATAGTATTGGTTATTGCCAATGCTTGTAATTTATGGCATTAGTTTCTTGATCATTTTTTAGTGCTCTTGTATTCAGTACAAGGATTGGACTCACCTTGAAGATCGACACGCTCGTTTGGTGGAGATTTTGAGAATTGAATTTTTTATCGTTGGAGATAAAGTGAGTTCTATCTGTAAGAGAAGAATTAAAAAATAACCGTTAAAATAGTGAAATAACTGTCAAAAAATTGATTTTAATTTACTTAAAATCTTTACCAAATAAGTGCTTACACTTTTTAAACTTTCGACTTCAAGAACTTGCTAGGTCTCTTGCTCTATTTGTTTAGTCATAGTCTGATCGATTTAAATTAGTGGTCAAAGCAATGACACATTAGAAATTGAAGCCGAAGATGGGGACATGCATTTGATTATTAATCACAACTTAATTTGACTGCACTTGACTTTCATATTAATTATAAGCAGCTGAAAGGTGCCAGTCCACAATTCTCAAGGTCTCATTGTCATCTTGGCTTCTATTCCAAGCGTTTGAAAATTTATATTAATTAAATACAAATTTCCAGTCAAAAAGTAAGCAAGAGATTTTTTGTAAGGAAAAATTCAATTCAAGACAAACATTAGAGGAATTTTGGGCCATATCCCTGTTGGGGCCCATTAATTTATATTTCATTACCTTTTATTTTATTTTTTTCACTTATTTTCAACCACATAATTTTTCATAAAATAATATTACACTTAAATCGAAAAAAAAATCTTCTTTTTCAACCACCCATTCTCCCAAAAAAAAAAAAAAAACACTAACCAGGGCTTGAATCAGAAAACATAAATTTTTGTGCAGTTGGCACTCATAGATAAATAAGCTTCAGTTATTAGTGATTCATCTTATGCTTCATTATTCTTATATTAGAATACTTATATGCAGGTTGTCTACAATGCCAATAAACTTGCAAAATTAGTGAAGGAGAAAAAAGGTAAACAAAATTGGCTTGACTATTACCAGTTAAAATATTCAAGAAATCAGTCAAAACGGCCTATGATGAAGGTACTATTTTTTAATGCAGTTTCTTTCAAGTGTCTAATTTCTCATACTCTACATTAGCACAAATTCTCATCCACTGGCGTTCCACTGTTTTTTAGATATTGTGATTCAACAAGTCATTTATGAAGTAATAACCATACCACTGCACTTCTTTTCAAACTTGCAGACTGGTTTTCTAGGCCTTTGTGGAGATCAAGTTGATGCAATTGATTACCAGACAGCTGAAATCGAGAGGCTATCAAAAGAGGTTAGCATTGATCACTCAACAATGCTCATTTACATCTATAAAACATTTCAAATTTACAGACTTATTCGACCATGTAAGTCTAATATCCACTATCATAAATATCTGTTGTTCTTGTTATCATCCTCGAAGTATACAGTATAATTTTTTTATGAATACAAAATGAAGGACCTTAAGTGCCAACTTTGCAATAGTGAAAGTTGATCTACCTTTCTACTAGTACTATCATAAAATTCATCCTTTATCATCAAAAGAATATATTCCCTTTGTCCCATTTATATAGGCTGATTTTGTTTTCACACGAATTAAGAAATCTTATGAAAAGCAATTTTTGCCAAAAACTTTCCTAGTGCACCCTTATTTATATTTGTACAATTTCAAAGTTAAATGGGAAATTTTGGTTATAACGAGGCAAATTAAATAATGTATATTAGTAAACGAACAAAATAGAACATTCTCAATAAGGAATCATGACTATATAATTGGGACAAGAAAACAAGGAAAGTCAATCTATATAAATGGGATGGAGGGAGCATATCAACAGTCATCCAATGGTCATAAAAGGTGATAGCAGGTTACTTAAAGGTCGGTTGCAGGTTGCTTATACGTCCATTTCTTCTTGGAACACCAAACATGGAAAAATTCTTTGGTATAAATTGACAGGCAACCTATGATCATAAAAATTAATAGCAGGATACTTAAAGGTTGGTTTCTTATGAGTTGTCCTGATAAAGTTGGACAAGCTAAATATGGAAACGAATCTCCTTTCGTTGTTTACCAAGCATTCAATAAGTACATTACTTTCTAAAAGTATCTCTTTACATTTCTTCTTTGTTCCCTGCTTTCCTTTTCATCTTCCTTGCCAAACATACCGCAAGAGGCAAATTCCTAGACCTAATTAACAATAAAGATATGGTTTAGTACTTCTTTGTCAGCGTGAATTTTCATTTCAGATTTGTTTATTGGTTGCTACACCTTAATTTTCTGGCTGTATAGGAGAACATAAACAAATTTTAGCGTAGGAAAATGCAAACTTGATATTGTTGATCTCCAGTAGCAGCATGAGCTTTAACAATAAATTACTTGTGCTGCAATAAATTGTAATTTCCACAACTAATGCAAACTATTTAGCGTGTTTAATGAAACAGTACACAGTGAAATATTACTTAAAAGTCACATATGGTATATCTAAAATGAAAAGATAAATAGGAATTGTTCCCTTCATAAAGAATTTGAAAATTGTCTTCCATTTATTGCTAACTTTATGCCTTTGTTTGTCTTCAGTACAGTTTTTATCATTTGGCATTAATTTGAATTTTCTGCTGCATTTAGGATAATCTCTCTTCTCAGCTCTTTCATTGATGGATAAAAGCTTTTCTTACCTGTACTACAAGCATAAATTTTACGTGCAGATAGATGAAGAACGAGAAAGGGTTAAAACAAATCCTAAGTGTATCATGCCCGCAGCTTTTGTCTCCTTCAAAACTCGATGGGGTGCTGCTGTTTGTGCACAAACACAACAATCTAGAAATCCAACATTATGGTTAACAGAGTGGGCTCCAGAGCCACGTGATGTCTATTGGAATAACCTGGCAATTCCCTATGTTTCATTGTCCATTAGGAGGCTTATTATTGCTGTTGCCTCCTTCTTTCTCACATTTTTCTTCATGATCCCCATCACAATTGTACAATCTCTTGCAAATATCGAGAGTCTTGAGAAAAGAGCATCGTTTTTGAAGGTGATTACTGACATGTGAGTGTACCTCATTCTTAGATCTATTACTACATTAGTTTATGTTTGTCAGAATAGAAATCAGATGTCCATACTATGGACCTGTTTATTGTCACTCATATGATTGATTGTTATTCTTCCTTTACTAATAATAACTTATTCTATTGCAGAGGTTTCATCAAGTCTTTCATCCAAGGTTTTCTACCTGGCATTGCTTTGAAGATTTTTCTCATACTCCTGCCGACAATATTAATGCTCATGTCCAAATTTGAGGGTTTTCTCTGTAGATCAGCTCTGGAGAGAAGATCTGCCTTTAGATATTTTATCTTCATCTTTGTGAATGTTTTCCTTGGGAGCGTCATAGCAGGGACTGCATTCCAACAACTTGACAGTTTTATTAATCAGTCTGCAAATGAGTAAGTTATTTCAACATAAACTGGATTGCCATTTTTTTCTTACATACTGAGAATGTATATTACTCATGCTCCTGGACATTTATCTGTTTTACAAATGCAATTACTTTGAGATTATGCATCTGACATTGCATGGTTGCTTCTTGCAGCATTCCTAAAACAATAGGCGTTGCAATCCCAATGAAAGCAACGTTCTTCATTACTTATATAATGGTTGATGGATGGACTGGGGTTGCAGGGGAGATCTTAAGGCTGAAACCACTTATATTCTTCCATTTAAAGAACTTTTTCTTGGTGAAGACTGAAAAGGATAGGGAGGAGGCAATGGATCCGGGAAGTATTGGTTTCAATACAGGTGAACCTCAAATACAGTTGTATTTTCTTCTAGGCCTCGTCTATGCTGTGGTGACGCCAGTTCTGCTTCCTTTTATATTGGTTTTCTTCGGCCTCGCGTATGTGGTATTTCGCCACCAGGTAATGCATTTCAAGTATTTTATTATTCTTCTATGGATCCCAAATATGATGTGCTTCTTGTTCCAAGGAGAATCAAGAGAGCTATAAATAAGCCAATTTTTGGCTTCTTTCTTAGAATTTAAGCTAAGTCTAGCATGCTCATAGTGTTTGTATATTACAAATACATGCAACAAATCAGAGCATTATGTTGCCCATCCTCTGTTATGTTTTACCAAATTATATTACCGCCAATTCTTTTCTATTCTTCGTTATGTAAATATTCAAGTTCACCGAGGAAGAACTCCTGTCTAAATGCTGGTGTTTGCTGAGTGCAACTACAATTTCTTCCTGCTTAATCGTTTGTTTCGCTCACAGCCATATTCTTATTATAACTGGTTTTTGTTATTATGACGGTCAGCTCATTTTTTTCAATTCTCGTTATTCCAATGTTGCTTCATTGAGAAACTGACATTAGAAGTTCATACATGGAAGAAAAGCAGTACACAGGTGTACATGGCTGAACATATTGGTTACTATGTTTTCTGATGAAGAGTCTTTGCTTATGCAGATCATAAATGTATACAACCAACAGTATGAAAGTGCTGCTGCATTTTGGCCAGATGTCCATGGACGTATAATATTTTCTGTGGTCTTTTCACAGCTAATCCTAATGGGACTAATGAGTACAAAAGGGGCTGCTCTTACAACGCCATTCCTTATTGCACTTCCTATATTGACCATCTGGTTTTATAGGTTTTGCAAAGGCCGCTATGAACCAGCTTTCATCAGATATCCTTTACAGGTAGGTTCTCCAGAATCTCCATTTGAAAACGATTGTTCTATTAGTTGAGTATCTTCATATATTTATTGGGTGCTAGTCATCGTTCTCAGTTAAAGAACATTGATCGTGTTAATTCTAGTATAATCCCTTGGTATCAAGTTGAATTGTAGTTTGGCTTTGACATAATTACGAAATCTTTTGTGGTTTTTACTTGCCAACTTTGTCCTCTGATAAATGGTGGAAGTGACGAGTATCTAGTCAAGTCGAGAAAACTAATTCGAGATGAGTTCACATTAAAAATTGAACATTTGGTCCATCATAGAAATGATGTCAAGATATTTGATTTAGGATAGGCGTGGCTCCGGAAAAAGTAATTGATCGAGTTTCTATTGAAGGTTGAATTTAAGCTCTAGGTGAGGTCGTTCTACAAGCAAAATAGTGGGTTCAAGTCCACTATTTATGAAAATTGTTCACATTTAAGCTTTTGATGTAAAAGAATCTGACCTACACATGGAGGGGTGTGTGAAAAAACTACTTTTAAACAAATAATTGTCTCCCCTTTAATGGCTTAAGCTTTTAAATGATGTGGTTCAACAGTCGCATCATGGGACCCCGTGATATGACATTTTTGTGATAACTTTGTTGTATTTTCTAATTATTGTCATAAAATTCGAGAATAGCTATTTGATATGAATGCTTCTTTGTCCCTTTGCTCCTCTCAATTGCATTATTAAACCTATACATTATCTTTGATCCTTATACACTCTCCATTCTGGATTTCAGGAAGCAATGAATAAAGATACTTTAGAACGTGCAAGAGACCCAAACCTTAATCTGAAATCCTATCTTCAAAATGCCTATGTCCATCCCGTTTTCAAAAATGAAGAGGAAGATGAAGATGCCCATGAAAAGTTCGAGAGTGTGATAGTACCAACCAAACGCCAGTCTAGAAGAAATACACCTGCGCCCAGTAAAATCAGTGGCGCTTCCTCACCATCATCACTGCCAGATACTGTTCCAGAAAACTTACTCCCTTGATAACAAATGAAAGATCAGTTCCTGTTTGTACATTATACTTTGCACGGCAAGTGATTCTGGAATGTATACGAGTGTAGATAGCTGAGTTTGTCCTGAAGGAAGGAGTCATCCTGTTTTATTCATGTTTGTATGTTGGGTGTGCAGTGTGCTTATATAGTGTTTGAGAGAACTGTACAGTGTTGTCGACTCTAACATACCGAACATGGTATGAAATTTTATACATTCATGAAAGTTCACTTTTGATACATTCCAAACATATTCTGTTATGCCTCGCCACATTTGGCTCCATGTAGCAAACTTATCGATATCCATTTGTCGATTATTGAACTAGCCTACCTAAGAAAAATCATATCCATTGAAGTAGTCCTATGTCAATATTGAAGCCCTGAAGCTAAGTTCAGTTGTTAGCCGAGGTGATGAAGCTTGACACAAGTCAAAGCCGGCTCAAGTATAGCAAATGACGACCCTCACAAAAGGATTCTAAATTTATACTGGAGACCATTTTGAATGATTGATGTGATATTTGTAATGAGTGAAATGTCTTGTCTTATCAGTTTAAACGATATTGTGTATGCTCTTTGTAAGAGCATTAAGCCCCCATTAATTTTCATTCCATCACATTTCATTTTTCTCTCTCTCCTATTTTCAATCACACAATCTTTCTTAAAATAATATTACACGTAAACCAAAAAATCTTCCTTCTTTTTCAACCACTTATTTTTCAAAAAAAATAATATTCCACCCATTTTTATTTTCACAAAATGGGGGCTAAATTCGCCACGGGCTAAGAAAGTCAAATTAATGCCTAGGATAGTGTGATTATCTTGTAGGAGCATTAAATGCGCCACGGACTAGAAAGGTCAAATTAATGCTTGGGATAGTATGCTTCAGCCAAGGAGATGAGGCAACGTGTATTTTCATCCAACGGACACCGTTTCATTTGTAGCACTATAAATACTCCCTTCATACATCATTTGAAGGCTAATCCAAATCTACAAAATTGAAGCTACTATTTGTTCTCTCTTGCTGATTATGCACTTGTCTTAACTTGAGTTTAGATTGCTTTACTTTTTTCAAATTATTGACGATTGTTTATTATTTACAACCGAGTGTAAAATATATTGTCGGAGCTCGAACATATTTGTCTCGTGTTATAAAGCATCTCTCACGTCCAAAGTCGTAGTATTATCAACTAGCACTCTATCCATATATGTTGAAATTTGCTTACGTATGCACGAGTGAAATCGGTATCTCCTGTCTACGTCACCTAGATAGAAAGCAAGTAAAAATCATAATTTTTTTTTTTTATTGATCATTTGCAAAATTACTGGTTTCTGAATATTTGACATTTTTTTTTTTAACTTCCAGTTCCCCAGGAACAATTCTATCTGCATGCAGAAACCTTTAAAAGTCGTTGAATAGAAGAGTTAGAATACCAAGAATTTTTTCTTTCCCAACTGAAAGAACAGTTCACTATTACACTGGAATGAGTCGGCAATATTTGAACGATTGTTCTCTCTCTCGTGTTTGTTATTCTCTTATAATTCGTTTGATTGAAAAGATAGAATTGAATTGAAAGCGAATTCTAGGGAATTGAATTGTTTAGAAATTATTTTCCTAAGAATTGTAAATTATTGTATTTGATTGATATAATTTTTTACATGAAAAATGTTGAAATAAAAGTAATTTTTGTTGTTCGTTTGACTTTATTTTACATGAAAATTATCGATTAAATGGATAGATTTTACTGATATTCGGAATGAAATTTGTTTCCGTTGCCAAAAATTAAAAAAAAAATTCAAGAAAATCATCTATCTTTTGTTATTTGTTTGACTTTGTTTTACATGAAAATTGTCAATATATATATATATGGTACAGTGACCGGGATTGGATTCCAATTCAAGGAAAATGTGGAATTCAGTTTAGGTGGAAAAAAAATGCTATCAAACAATGTAAAAGTGGAAGTTGTAATTCATTTTCCATTTTCTAGGGAAAATTTTGGCTTATCAAATATACCCTTATATTTCTATTTAAATATACATTAGATATGAATCTTGAGTTATAAAATGAAATTTAATGGAAATGAAATTTTAATGTGATGGTTATTTTATTGGATATCAAGGCTATGCAAAAGTTACAAGTCTTTCTATTTATCTGTTCCATAAACTACATAGAATGTGTCGAAGATGCTCTGGATTTTCTATCTTGACACTGAAGTGATCCAGATACAAACAATTAATGATTAATTGATGAACAATTCACTAATACCCTTGTGAAAGTGAAACTTATGGACCTCTTATGAAAAAGGGAAAAGTTTATAATTAATAAATTAAGTATGACCTATTTCAAAACTAAGAATAAAGATTTGAAATTTGAAAAATCAAATTTTTATTAAATTTTATTTATGATTTAATTAATTAAATATATTAAGGTCGTAGATTTATACTATTTGGTCACAAATTAACGATTTAAGTAGTCACGTATTATTTTTTTATTACAAATTATTTTATGCTCACAATTCAAAATCTTTATAGGTCACAATTTATTCATCGATCACAAATCAAAATTTTATATATCACAATTTATTTATCGATCACAAATCATAGATTTTATAGATCACAATTTATTTTACGGTCACATATCACAAATTTTATAAGTCACACACATATTTCACAATAAAAAATTATTAAATTAATTGATCACAATTAAACAAGTTCTGAGTCACAATTACTTAGCCCCCGTTTGGTATCCATTTTTTTCAAAATGCATTTTTCTCTATCTTCTTCTCAACCATATATTCTTTATTAAAATAATATTACACGTAAATTAAAAAAAAATTCTTATTTTTCAACAACACACTTCCCATCAAATTACTATTCTAGAATGCATTTTTACATAAAAATGTCTATCAAATACCCTCTTATTCTTCCCACTACAATCATGTATTCTTTCAAGTCACATATTATTTGTTGGTCACAAATTAACAATTTATTGATCACAACATTCAGATAATTAGTCTAAAACACTCTTCCCACCCCGATGACAACCATCACCACACCACTGGGGTACTTTTAAGTTTGGCCATGTTAAGAAACCAATTTTTCACTTTAACAAAAAAAAAAAATTGACATTCATCACAAAGGCCTATTCTTGTATAAAAGACAAAAATGCCCTCAAATGAGTTATACAATTACAAAAATAGAAATCTGTTAAAAGACAAAAATATCCTTAAGTTCCAAATTAAAATCCAAAAACCTCTTAATTGAGATTTGAAAACGAAGTCACTCTTTTCATCAGTTTACTCTAACAAGATAAAAATTCTTTCATTTTTCATCCACTTCAACCTCAAAATTTCATAAACTTATCAGTTATCAACCTCAAAAAAAATATTTCATTAAATTTCAGTACTTTAATTCGGTAAGTATCTTTTCCTAGTATTTAATTTTGTTTTTATTGAAGTCGTATATTTTTTTAAGTGGTAGAGAAAATAATATTAGAACCGAAGTTCAGGGCGGCACCGATTTGACGCCGGAACTCCAAACAGTCCGTAACGGACGAAGACGAAAATGTCTTCGTCCGTAAAGGACGGACCGGACTCCGTAACGGACCTCCCCCCCGCCCCCCCGGTTCTGGCGTCTAATCTAATTTGTTCTAATAATTTTTAATTTGTAATTCAGATATAGCAAAAGCATGTATCTCAATCTATTACTTCGACGAATTTCAAAGGAAAGAAAATGGTCAATAGGAATGGAAATGGACGAGTGAAGGAGAAAGGGGTTGCTGCTATTTCGATAACAAAAAATACATCATTTACAGAAATACACAATGAAATACAAAACATACTTAACGTCGATTTCTCTCAGTACGATATGGAATTGAGATTTTTATTTCAAAAGCATTCAACAATTTCGATTCCACCTTTGAAAGTTACTTCTGAAGTGCAAATAAAGTATCTAATTCAATTGAACCAAGGTCGAAAGACGACTCCTATTTGTGTAACTTTGTTTAAGAAAAATGTCCCCGAGGGTGAACACGAAATTTTAGATGGAGAGGATCGTAACGAGAATGATTTTTGGGATACTGTTAGATTGCTCGTGAGGATGATGTGGTTATTCTCGGGATAATTGCTACTCGCCATGATGTCACCATTACACAAAGGATTTACGAGGAAGTTCAAGACAACGAGGATGAAAGGCCATTTACAGATCATGATTTTATTGCTTTATCCAGACAGAGACATGAGTCTGGTGGGAGTTCATATACTGGGCCGAGTACACGGTCTTCTAATTGTTCGCGTGTAGTTCCTCATGATGAAGATTTACATGTCGATCAATTGTTTGACACGAAAAGAGATTTGTAAGAAGCTGTGCACCGAATTGCAATGAAACATAATTTTGAGTTTAAGGTAAAAAAATCAAACAAGTCTACATGCACAATTATTTGTGTGAACAATAATTGCAGTTGGTGTTTGAGAGTAACAAAGATGAACACAAATGAGTTCTTTGTAGTTCGCAAGTATGCGCAGGAACATACTTGTGAAGTGGGTGTTCGTCAAAATGATCACAGGTAAGCTCGATCATGGTTAATTGGTCGACAGATAATGCAAAAGTTTCAGGACCCACGGACGATTTACAGACCTACAAATATCATCAACAACATCCGTCGGGAGTATGAGGTGGTTATGAGTTACCAAAAGGTCTGGAAGGCTAAAAAATGTGCATTGGAAGATTTAATGGGTTCGACGGAGAAGAGTTATACCAAATTGGCCAGGTATTGCCACAACATGGTGAGAACTAATTCTGACTCGGCGTTTTTTATTGAAACCGATGAGTAAAATCCCTTCAAGTATTTTTTTATGGCTCTTGGATAATGCATTATAGGTTTTTGAAATGCGATGCGACCTCTAATTTTAGTTGATGGTACAGCGCTAAAAGCTAGATATGAGACAAAGTTGATTATTGCTACTTGTCAAGATACTAACATCCAAATTTACCCACTTGCATTTGGCATTGTCGATGGAGAGACTAATCTAGCAATGTGTTGTAGGGCTGGGCAAAACCCAACCCAATCCACTCAACCCGATCGGTTTTGGTTGGTTTTTTAAGTTCAATTGGGTTGGGTTGAGTTGAAAAAATATATTTGAGGTTGGGTTGGTTTTCAGGTTATGATTTAAAACTCAATCCAACCCAAGCCAACTTGATGAATTAAAAAAAAAATATATCTAAGATGAAAATAAAAACCTAAATAAACACAATAGTAAAGATAT